GTGTTGGTGACTTTATGTGTGGGTGTGTGTGAGTGTAAAAGAGAGAGAGAGAGAGAGAGACACACAGAGGTTGTGAGTCTGCCTCCGTGAGTGAAGAAGACGCTGCTGTGAGTGATGGCTCTTTTGCATTAGCACTTATGTGGACAGGAGAGTTGGAGGCAGTTGTTTTGTGGGACTCACGGAGAATGGCAAACCCAACGGTCTCCTTGGAAACATCCAACTAAGTGACAATGGCCGAGGTAAGATAAAGGCGGCGTTTCACTTCTGTTTTCAGTCTGCTTAAACTCTGCCCGTGCACATGATCTGTTCATGAGTTTTTTGTGTCTCAGAGTGACGCACGGGTTAGACAGACATCCCAGGACTTCTGACATGTTATTACCTGAAAAGCATTTATCTGTGCATGATTTGACGGATTAAAGTACGCACATTTAGTTTTAGCACATAACAAGAAGAACCTCTTTCCCGCTTACTTTGAGGGAAGTTTGTTTTTGTCTGAAACATCTGGTTTTCAGACTTGAAATGTTATCTCCAGACAAAAACAAGAACTTTATCTTAACCACTTTACAACTAGAAGAGTTCAAAATTAATTAGAAACATTTTGATAAAACAAGTTTGAGAAGCTCTCTATTTTAATTTTCCAAAATGTTCACGTTTACAACTTTGAGACACTCTGAAATACCTGTGGACTTCATATAAGACATGAAAGCCATTGAAGGGGAGTCATTTTCACATGGACGCATTCAGTCCAACAACCAGCTGCTAATACAAAGCAACACAGAAGTTAAACTCTTTTTCGAGCTTTCCTATGCGCTTCCTAACCATCTTACTTTATAGTTTGTTTTTTCGCTTTCATTTTCTGGATTTTTTAAAATGTAGATAGAATGCGTATAATTGTTTTGGGTAAATTTTTGGGGAAAATGTAAATTCACATCATGAAAGACTGTCCGCTCCGTTCCTGGGCCTGTTGTCCATCCACCTGACCGCAGCCAGGGAAGACCCTGATAGCCTTTTGGCCACAGCCCATTGGAATTCAAGAGCATCAGTTGTTATATGGCCATCATAATGTCGCGTTATCTGCAGCGTCTGGTGACTTTGTCAGTAACTCACAGAACACACATCCCTGTATGTGTGTGTGTGTGTGTGTGTGTGTGTGTAAGCAGTGCTGATTAGTACTTATGATATTAGTGCATATCAAAAGAATGAATTGCCAAACATCCAACCGGACTGATTTAACATGTGGCAAACACTGTGCACGAGCATTTATCTGATAGATTAAAAAAAACAAAAAACGTTTTAATGTATTACTCAATCACGCCATGTGCACTGACAGATGTAGAACTGACCAGTACCTCCTAAAAAGTTTTATACGCACCAAGAAATAGTAGAGTTTGTTCTTTTGTCAGATAAGACCCTATAAGCTTGAACACTTTACAACAGTTTGGTATCTTATTTGATTTTATTCAGGCACCAAGGTGGTTATGAGGGATGTAAGGTTCCTTCCTGTCCTTTTTTAAATTCCTGGACTATGCAGTCCTTTCTAAGTTCTGATGAAGGAGGTCTTTCTTAGTAAAAAATGCTTTGTGAGTATGTAAAAAGAGAGTGAGAACAATGGCATTTTTCCCTAATACATGCTTACAATTGTTGTTATCCTTACCTTTTTTTGTCCGTTTTGTTTATTTTTTTTCAGATAACTTTCTGTCGTGTGTTGGTACAGTTCCACAGGGGAATCATGCAAAGCCGTACATGCGTAAAAGGAAAGGACTTAGAATTAGTAAAAAAAAGCTCTTTGATATGGTTTTGACCTGGTGTATGGTGCCAGGAGCCTGTAAACACACTCACACACTCAAACACACGCCTTATTAGCTTCATGATGTCCATCTGTAAGAAGATGGGGGTGAATGTGAACCTGCTCCACCCTTTCCACCCCTTGAGCATCTCCTTGAGCAGTGATCAACCCCTCCTGACCCGATTCTGCCCCCGTAACAACCCGAGTCCCCATGTGCACACACACACACACACACACACACACACACACACACACAGTCATCCTTTAAATATTCTCTGCATCGCCACCAAAAGGCTTGTAAGGATTTGTCTGCCAGATGTGACAAGATTGTCAAGAGGCAAGCGAGGAGAGAGGGGGAGATCTGATATTAATCATAGCATAGCTGGAAGCCAAACATATTCAGTGTACTAACATGTTCCCCTCCTTTAGTCCCTGTCTTACCCAAACATTCCCTCAGAGCTCCGAACATGAAGCAATACACACCAGAACCCAGCAGACTGGGACTTGCTTTCTCATGTCCCCAACACATTAACTCTTTGTCCTTCTTTTACAACAAAGACTCACTCTTTTGATAAATGTGCTGCCTTTTTTTAAACTTTTGGGTGATATGTTAAAATGTAGCAGAATTATCTATCTATCTATCTATCTATCTATCTATCTATCTATCTATCTAT